ATTACACTTGTCTGAAATTTACTGCCTGGTCAACCAAAACAAAACCCAAACCTGGGACACCAAGTAAAATGCTGAGAAATGCTAAATACCCATTCTCGGTTCATCTTCTCCCTGACATTCATGGTTGTGTTCATGTTTAGCATATATAATAAATCTTAACCCCCAAATATATGCAATAAGCTTTTGAACCTATTTATACCTTTGCTATCTAAATATCCCATGGCAATAACTTCCCAGCGTAAGACTCTGTTGGTGACTTCGTTCGATCTATTTTAAATCCACTCCTTGATTAATTCACTGGGTATCCCATTTTCACTGTCAAGAATAGTGAATAATCCTTCTCCAGCCATTTGTGGCTTTATAGCACACTGCTGCAGTCCACCTTGGCCCCAGTTGTCTTTAGGCTGAAGAGTCTCAGTCTGGTTAATAATAGATTGCTGCTAAACTTAACCATTGCTGCTTGAAGAAGTGGTGAGTGTAAAGGCAGTTTCTGTGGCTGCTCTCAGGGTTTCATTTTCCTGTTTCATTGACCTTAGACATAGTGCCTTTCTGGAGAGTATTTAGGTCACAGGAATATAAAAGAGTGGAAAAAGCCTATGTAAAGAAAGTATATTCTAAAACATTTTGGGGAGGAGAAGAAGTGAACTTGATTTGCATCTTTAAGAAACAAGATGTGAGAAAGTGTATTCTTAATTATGTGCAAAAATAGCACATGGAAGTTATTGTTAGGCAGCCATCTGAAATAATCACAAATCTTTATTTTTTATTAATGAACTTGGATCACAGATAGGGCTGCACTACACGTTAAGGGAGCTGACTATTTTTTCTCTGTTGACATATGTTGAAAACAAGGGAAAAGATAGAAAATGGGAAACATCGGTACTATTGACTTACAAACAAGAAGGAAGATTAAGATGGAAAAGTTTGTACTGAAACATTCACAGAGACATAGTGTGTGGTGTAAATAGAATCATAGAATCATAGGGTTGGAAAGGACCTTCAGATCATCCAGTTCCAACCCCCTGCCATGGGCAGGGACACCTCACACTGAACCATTTCACCCAAGGCTTCGTCCAACCTGGCCTTGAACACTGCCAGGGATGGAGCATTCACAACCTCCCTGGGCAACCCATTCCAGTGCCTCAGCACCCTCACAGAAAAGAATTTCTTCCTTATATATAAGATATATATATATATATATAAAATATATAGATAGAGAAGTTATGTTTCCAGAGAATGTGCTTACCAGGTAGATAGAGATTACATATCAAATATTACACAGTGGCTTAAAATAGTTTCATATTCACCTACATTAAATTGTGAGGTGAATTACATACTACTATGAGTTTTGAAATAAATTAACTTCCATGGAAATCTTACTTCAGGATGTGTCCAGCACCAAGAGCAGTTTGAATGGGATGCCAAAATCCTCTCACTCTTTAATCCTAGAAAGAGTATGTCACTCCAATTTCTTTTCACTTTTTGCTTAAATTTTCAGTGTGTCTGCATTAAGTCTTGAGATAAAATGAAGACAAATCTTGTTCTGAATATTTCCAGGAGTCATGTCATCTAGGTCAGTACATCCTGAGGTGTGCTGCTAACACATTAGAGAAGCTGATGGTGCTTACTGCTATTTCTGAATCAGTGGTGAAAAACCAACATTAAGCTTGCACTTAGGAGTCTGACCAAGCAAGCAGATTTCGCCTTGTTGTAGCCCTGTAGCTGTTACAACTGATCTATGATCAACAGATGATTGCCTTGCATTTCTTGGTTTCTAATTGCCAACTTCCCAGTTTTCAGGACCATCTGTCAGTTCATGTTTTCTTCCTGAGTCGCTCACAATCATGTTACCCTAAGTATTTGATCATTCACTATTTAGTGCCTGTTCTCCCTGTGCAGCACTTGGTATGGCTTCCTACTTGTGTGGTGCAATCTTTAGACAAAGAAATAGAGACTTGAAGAAATCACCTAAGCTCCCTCAACAGGGAGAGATACCTCCAGTACCCACTTTGTCCCACCTTAAACCTATGGGAGGTGGCCTAAAGTGCTGTGGGGCTTTTCTTCTGGACCCTATTTATCTCAGCCAAAACTACCCCATCATTTCACACATGGGCTGCAAAGTAGATTTCTCACACAGATAGTCCCCAAGGCTGTGGTTTTAAGCAGATGTATTTAAAATGGTGCAAAAGGGTGTATGCTTCCTATTTATCTTATGCTGATTGGTTTAGGATGGCTGGGACTTGACTTATGGTTGGGACTTTCCTACTTCAGTTCCTTGAGGGCACAGAGGCAATGGCTGCTGATGGAAGAGGTTTAAGCAGATGGTTTTTGTCTGGCATTTACAACACTCTAAGTTGGTTACCACAAGAGGGCTGGCACAAGGTAATTTGGGCTGTGAGTCTGATGGTTGGGTAGGTTGGGCAGTACCTTACCCTAAATGAAAGTAGACCAGTCTTCAACCTGAGCAGCAGTGTTTATCCTCAGATATGTTAGCATTAATCTGACAAAACCAGTGGGAATCGAGGCACAGATCTAGCCTTAAAATAATTATTTAAGCTGTGCAGATATTCTTATTCCAACCTGGGAAACCTAAAAGGGATGAAGAGAGGCCTTACTGAACATTAATGCTGTGCAGTATAGAAGCTCTGGCATACCCATGTTGGAAGACAGTTGCAGTCCCTATCTGTCGATGCTAACATGCCATGTGGAGGGAAGTAGTTCCCATTACACCCCCGAACATGTCAGTGATGTATTTAAAACATACCCATCATCAGAGGACACAAATATGAGAAGCATTTAGTTTTTGCTGTAACAAAACAGATAAAACACAGCAAAAGGTTGCCAACAAAGCAAGCTCTGTGGTGAACCACAGCCGCGCAGTGGAAGATCCGGAAAAGATAGGGAAACCATTAAAAGAGAAAGGAAAGGGGGAAAAACCCTTCCAGAAGGAATTACCAGTAATTTGGGAAGTGAATGATCAGGAAGGAAACAGCTGGAAGAGGATGAGGAAGGGGTTGCTGAAGCCAGGGAGCAGGAAAGATGGTGCCATGAATAATGGGCTGGAGATCCATGCCTTTGCCTCCTGCCTCTCCTGCAGGTCACAGGGTGTTCTTGGGGTGGCCAGAGGCCATGTGCACCCTCCTGCACTCTAGGAAGTGTGCTGGTGTGTTTTGGGGATGGGATGGGATGGTGTAATTGCATGCTATGACAGCACTCCTCTTCCTCCTCTCTAGGGTATGCTCTGGTCGCTTTTGCAAACATAGTTCCAGGATAATGGATTCCTTTTTAGGCTTCTTTCCTCTCCGAATTAGGCTCATGCAGCCTGCCTGAGCGCCTGTCCGTTAGTCTCCCCTGGTAACTGTTGAAGCCTTTTGTTTTCAGGCACATTGACAGAAGGGTGAAGTTTCAGAAATACCTCATCCCTATGGGTTTTGTGGAAAACAAAGGACTAAGTAGAGAAGAGAGACCCTCCTCGCTTCTCCGCCAAACGACCGACTACAAGAGCTCGGCTGTTATTAGGCATCAGAAACCTACACGGATGAGTCCCTCCCTGGGCTCCATTGCTTCTGCTCCACAGGAACTCGCTCACGGATTAACTGAATTTCCTTGTCCTTCCTTTCATAAAGCTAGTGCTCCACTGGAACAGGCATAATGACATATTCCGCCTGAAATAGGATGATTATGAGAGCCTAGCTTGAGATAGAGATTATAAAAATGTAATATCTAGCAATTGGAATATCACCCATGGAGTAGGGGAGAGAGAGAGAGACAAACAGATATATAGGTAGGTAGACAGATAGGTTTCTTAATTGAACTCTCTGCTTGGCTGTATTTCCTTTAAGCAAGTACCATAGGTGACTAACAATAAAGGACTGTAAGGAAGAACATGGAGCGGGTTTATCACATTTGACTTGTCATAGGCAAGCTTTTACACTCATATCAGCCTATACCGAAGACCCCTAAATAATTCAAAGTGTTCAAATGGTCTAACATTAGCGAAGTGGTATTCTTCCCTCAGGTGCTTAAAACAAGGTGGTAATATTTCTTCTTTTAAAATACTAATCATATTTCATTCCCCTGCTCCAGAGCATTTAATATCCTATATAAATCAATACCTACCTCACTATGTATCAATACATGAATAATTACATTTCTGCCTATCCCCAGACGCTCCGGAACCATTTCTTCTTGTCTTTTAATCACAGAGCTGTTATTGCAGGGGAAATTCAAGCAGATGTGAATACATAAAGCCAGAAATAGAAAACTAAGCTGAGAACCTCACTGTAATAGCTGTCTCTTCCGAAGCGAGCTGCTCCTCACTTTCCCAGGAGATGTAGTAGGTATTGCTTCCCTTTTCAAAACAATAACTGCTATGGTAAAGCTCAGTCAAGCAAAGCAAAACTTCACTCACTTTGCTTTTCACAGTCGACATTTGAATGCAACAGGGAGCCCTTGCTGGTCTGATTGGGAACTGTGTCTCTCCCCCCTCTCAAAAGACCTGGGGTCCCAAAATGCCCTCATGCTGGAGCCTCCATTTGAAAAGGAATCACATAACAAGGCCCATCTGTCTCTATAGAAAAACTGGTTCATCTCAAGTAAGTGCTTTTTTGAATGGACCTACACCTAGGAAAACTGAAAATATCCATCTTCACCCCATGGAAGCCTTAGTTTACCCGCAGCACAGCATTCCCATTCCTAGTTTGTTCACTGTTCTTTTGATGCCATGTGTCTGCTGTTAGGAGACCAGATATATATGCATTACAGCATGTGTGTATATACACATACGGACGGAGCATAAGATTCAGAGGAAGACTCTAGATTTGCTGTGAAAGTGGTAGTTTCTTATTCACTGATATTAACACAGTCTTCACCCTGCACCTTGGTGAAAGCCTCAGAGATGATGGAATTAGGCTATGTATAAGTCAACACACTTAACAGACACTAACTATATAAACCTCTATCCCTTGTCAATCAGATATATGCTGCTTGTCTTTTGAGAGGGATGGAAACTCAGATGACTTGCCAGAGTTCAGAAAGCAGAATGGTGATACGTCCTCCCAGCATCCCATCCTATGCAAACCTGTTCTTCCTTCCAGACAGGCTGGGTATGTTTACCATGTCTCTACCTTTGTTTTTGCTCACCTTCCATCCCCACAGGGAGCCCTCAAGCACGTATTTGTTTGCACTTTGAACCTGTGCTTGCTTGCACAGCTCTGCTTTAGCTCAAGCTGGGACGAGATTGCCTAAGTGCCAGTAAAGCTTCAGTGCCTTCTCCTGCCATTCCCCCCACTCACCCCAGCACTCCGAGTTCCCCTGCAGTTGATTACAAGTGGGAAATAATCCTCCAGCGGTTCAGAGCGAAGTGTGTGCAGCACAGATGCCTACAGGTGAGTGCAAAATAGCACAACCAGACTAATATGGACTGAACTTCGCTTTCAACAGCAGAAACAGCAAAAGCCTTCATGCATATTCTAATCTAATGAATGTTTCTGAATGTCTGAATGGTTTACTATGTCAGATTTAGCTCTGGGAGGTGTCTTGCATCCTATAAATGCTAGGTTACAAAAATGCTGACATGTATGTATGTATGTATATAAAGACATATGTCTGGGTCTTTGAAAAATAACAGCCTAGGATGGCTGGCTGGCTGGCTGACTAACTAGCTAGCTATACATATCCTTAAACTGGAAGAACCTAGAAAAGCCTCTAAGCTAATGCATCTTTTAACACTGACTTCACTTGTAAACTCCATGTATGCTGAGAGAGCTGCAGCCATCTCAGACTCCATCAAGTTTCCTTTTCATTGAGTGCATGGTCCTGGATCCTGCGCTGCAGGTCTCAACAGCCCCAGCAGAACAGGGGAGCATGGTGGGTTCATCGGGTAGCTTGGTCCTTTGTTATTCAGCTTTAACCTGAGTAGCAACAGGAAAGCTTTAGTGGCATGATTTGAACACTAGCCAGGCAAAGAAGACCATGATAATGCAAGAGCAGGAAAGACCACAGCAAATTCTTCTTCTAGTCTCTGTGGTATCCAAATTAACAAGTATTTTTCCAGGGTGAATCCAAACACATCCTATTCCTGTCATTCAACAGCCTGCCTCTGGATGCCCTTGTCCCCCATGGGTTGCAGACAGGCATGCAACAGCCCTTGTGTCCTGACACCAGCCATTCAGACCTGCTCTCACTTTAAAGTTAGCCCTGCTTTGAGCAGGGGACTGGATAAGAAGGTCCTTTCTGACCTAAATTATTCTCCAGTACGAAGTTCCAAACCTGGTTTAAGTGGACATTTGGGTGGCACCTCTCAGTCCCAGCACAGAGCTTGCCCTGCTCATTTGGGATCACGGTGGGATACCCCTGACTCTGCACCAGCAGCGAAATAACATTCCATTTGTAAAGAAGGAACACTCCTGATGTGAGAAGACTCCTGAGGAGCTCAAGCCAGAATCCTTCCCTACCGTCAGCACCCACAGGCATGGGAACAGAGTAAAGAAAATTCCAGCCACAACTGCAGCTTCTCTGCTCCTGCTCCCTGGGAGGATGCAGCAGCTCTGACCTGTGCTGAGTCCAGGCTATGAGACTGGGAGAGCCCCCATGGCTTTGAGAGGCCATGGTGCTGCTCCAGTTCAGCAGGGGAGGAGGCACACTTTGGCCTGTTGTCAGGAGCAGGGACATGATCCCAGCCCAAATCCACTGTTGAGACAGCAGATCAGGACTAACTCTGCTCAAAAATCACTGCTCTGCACAGATCTGTCAGCTTGTGGGATTTGTGCTAGCTTGATGAAAGGGTTGGCTCCTATCCTCAGCTGAACTCTCATGGTTCAAAGTTGTGCTGGCTTTTTTTCTGTGTCCTTTGGGGTGAAAAATGTCTTGCAGCTGCTGCTTATAATTATTTCCCCTATGTTTCAACATTCTCCAGATGAATGTCACCCGAAGCAGTGCTCTGAGAGACTACAGTCATGATTGCCAATAGCCAACATCCAGACTAAAAATAAAAACCCTCAGCATGGGACTGAGCGACAAGCAATCCATCCTCTGGCAAAAATCACCCATCACCTCACCCCTCCAGCCCTGTCTTCTTCATGCTGAAAGATGCAATATCTAACAGCATCATCAAGAGATCAAGGTGGCTCATTGAAAGCACCAGGCAAGCTGATCTCTCCATTTTGTGAATGTCTGTGTTTAACAGCCATCAGATTTTGGCTGGTCAGTACACACAGTGGAGGGAAAGAGAAGGCTTGTCAGTGGAATAGTTATTTGGCCCTGGGAGAATTCTGGGGAGCTGTTACAAAATCCCTATTTTTGGCCCCAGAAATAACACATCATCTTTTTCTTTTCCCCTGTGCTTTTAACAGTCACCTTTCACAGAGGTGGGTTAGTCTGAAAGGATCCCACCTGCAGAAAGGAAGGAAACCTAAGGGAAACATATTCTGGGAGAGCCACAGTCCCTGCCTTGCTTCCTCCTGGCTGTCACAGGGATTGAGATCTCAGGGTTTGGCCTAGCCTATGAATTTTTGCATATTACACCTGAGATGGGCTGAAATATTTATTTCCCCTTCTTTTTCATTAGTATTTAACATGCAAGGAGAATCTGTCTACTTGCCAGGCTGACCTTGCTCAGAATGGGGTCTAGGGACCAGTGCTTTCCATGCCACCAGTAGCGCATACACTTGGGCTAAGCAGAAGTACTTCTGGCAGCTGATCCACCAGTGTTTGTTAGGGCTGATCCTGGCTCTGCAACAAAAGCTTTCCTGAGTTTTACATGTGGTAACCTCACAAGATGAAGACACTAAAAAATAATGTGGCACTCTACCCTTGTGACAATACATAAAAGGCCACATCTTTGAGCAGCAGTGGTGCTATGGTTTATTTACGCTCATTTACCCCATGCCTGGGAGACACGAATTCTCAATCACTATTGCCACACAGTCTTAAGTATGAAGTGCTTCATGTGGATGATCATAATTGTTTCAAACCAGACTCTAAACACCCAGTTGAGAAAGGACAGTGCTGCGTTTGAAATGAAAACGTGGCTCAAGAGGGAAGGAGAATGATTCTAGCTCGTGTTTTCCATCTTCACAAGACTCCCAGCTCTCCCTCCCCGTCTGCACAGGCATTTTCCTCTCGTCTTGCTCCCTGGGGGAACCACAAATCCTGGTGCATTCTCATTTAACTGAAAGGATCCCCAGGTAAAACCACAGCACTTGGGCTTATTCAGTAACTTGTTTGGCCCACTGGTTTTTAAGTGGGTACGGAGCTATAAATGCGTTGCTTCAGCAGAGGACTTAAAATGCCAAGAACAAGATGTTGATGTTATATTATCAGATTCAGGACTAGAAAGAATGGAGTCTAGACATTCCCTTATTAAAGAAATAAGATTTTTTTTTTTTTGCTTAGCATTTCATCTCTGTGCTGTGAAGTGAGAAATACAACCAATAAGTGTCTAATATCTCAAGCCAAGACTCAGCTCCACCTTTGGCCTTCTGCTCCCTCGGGTGTTTTATAAGGGCCCATGCATTTGATGACATGCATGCTGGAATAAAATGCTTAAGATAACATTTGCAAAGTTCATACATGTTTTACAAGGGGCTCCCTTTTCACTTGTGATAAGACACAGGGATTTCAGGCACGAGAGAGTGCCATAGCTGCGTTAGGGAAGGAGGAGAAAAACTTTTCTTTGGCTGATCCAGTAAAAACACCTTTTCTCCTTGGTCACTGATGCACAAAGAGCTTCCCTGCATATACATCTGGCTGCATCTATTGCAAGAACTGGGCTTGCAGGCTGGGGAGGCCTGTGTCTGTCAGAGGAATCAGCAGACTTACCTTTTGGTTAAAAACATGGTGGTGAGGATGTGGGGACTCCTGTTCATTTTCCTGGTTAGATCAATGCCATTGCAAGGAGGTAGTGAGGAATTGCCAAGTCCTTCCTGCCTGCTGCCATTGGAGGCACCATCTGCAAACCCCTTCCCTCCCAAGCACAGCGCACATGGGATTTGAGAGGATCCCTTTCCCAAAGAAATCCTACAGGAAAGAAATTAAAATCAATGAAAAGTAAAAGCAAAAGTATCCAAGATACACATCTGACAAGTACTGAAGGCCCAGCAGACCATTTAGACTTTTAACTCCTATTAGTGCTCATAGGTTGATACAAGTAGAAGGAAATAGGAGCCTTTCTGAGCCAAAAATGTGTGGAACAAACTCAGAAGAAGCAAAATGCTGCTTAATGTCTCTAGGCCTGCTTATTTAATGACAGCAGAGCCACACACATCATGATTACAACCGCCATAAACACAGCATTGGTGCCCATCACCCTGGTAAGTGCCTACCTTATGAACCAATGTCATTGTACTGTGAAAATCAGCACTCCAGTAACCAACAAAGCAGCAATAAACAGGCCCACCTCAAGTACAGCTGCTGGTGGGCTTGGGAAGTCCACCCCTGCTGAGACTGCAAACAAAAACCCTTGGATGGGCCACCATTTGAGGAAGGAAAGCATCTCACAGAGTTAACAGGAGCCCTGGCAGATGGCTCAGCTGTGTGATAAGCTCCTCACCTCTAACGAGTGAGACCTGCAATAACACACTTGTGAGTTAAAATGGAACAGCTGAATTTCAGACAAGCTTGCTGCTTACCCTGGGTCTTCTTGGGCTACTCTGATGGAAATCAGGGTATAGCACATGCTAAAGAATCAGACTGGGGCTCACTGTTTTCATGACCAAGAGTATGTTGCTCCACAAAACCAGCTTTCCACCTTGTAAATACTCCAAAAGTAAAGGTCTGTTCAAGATATGTCTGCTGCTAATACTTTAGGCAGGTTGACTCTGTCCTAATTCACCCTTGCTAGACTACATGATTATCAAATCTTAAAGCAACCAGTGTTTCTAGTAATATTTTCTCCTAGAATGTGCTTATCAGCTCATATCTATGCCTTATTTACACTTGAATTTAATAATAGGTATTCAAACGTGCTAAATCCCATGGTTACAAACCAAGCATCAGCATTCACCTTCATCTGGTCCAGAATATTCTGCGGTGCTTTGACTGTCTGGTGACCCCATGGCAGTTTCTGTCCTAGCAGAGATGAGTGACAAAGCAGCACCAGTGAGATGTGCTTCACATGGCTGTGGCAGGTATCCCCAGAGAGCTCTATGGCACATCCTCTAGGGTTTTTTCCCCCATAAAGCTACAATGGAAGGGACAGGTTGTTTTAGTGTCCAGTTTCAGAGTGCCAGGAGAAGCACAGAGGCTCTTGTAGCAGGAGGAGAAGCTGCCAGAGTAGCAGGAAATTCCACTTTCCCAAGGGTTTCCTAATCAGCACCATCTCTGGAGGCAGAGTACATAATCCCAAGGTGCAGACTGACCTGGTTACTGAAGGAAGGCTTTGTCTAACCCTGGTCACTGTTTTCCCTGCTCTGGAATATACCTATTATAAGCTCACAGAAGTAGGCTCTGTACTTGTTCCCACACAGAAAGGAGCCAGCCAGGACTCAAAGAAGCACCCCCATCCACCTGGTGATGTTACATGGGGTATCCATGCACAAGAACCATAATTTCATGTAAATACAAACACAGGTGTCAAAGGGGAGCACAAAATAACCCCCTCCAAGCGCTCCAAAAGCCAGGGCCTGCTCATGATGGATTTACAGCCAGCAATTCAGCCAAGCTGACTATACGTTAATGCTTGTCAGATAGCACAATTATCACATCTCAGAGATCACGTCTGCCTCCCTAGGTCAGGGGTGATCAGCCCATGGCTCCCACACTTTTAGGGGACTATTCCCTTTTCTCATAGCTCACCCCCCTTTCTCACCCAAATCCTGCTCCTGCAGGTGGACAGCAGAAGGTGCATCCCATCACCCTGTACCCACAGCAGGACCTGGGTGAGCAGTCCCCTGGTGAAGACAAGAGTATTTCCAAGCTGGAAACAAAGGACAGCAGGGCCTGAATCTCCGTTTCCTTTGCCCTGGCAACTGTGCAGCTCTTTAGCTTGGTAGATCTATTCCCCATCCACTGTTGCCATGATTTCATCAGACCCCACCAAGAGCATCTCTTGGAAAGGTGTTTTCAGCAGCACCTGCATATAATGAAAAGCATTACATGAGCCTTCTGCCCAGCACAGAAAGCCTGAGCAGGCTGAGCATGCAACCAGAGGAGACTGTGTACCTCTTATCTGGGATGCCAGAATGCTGCCTTCATAGGCAGAGCCCCGTATTATCACAAAAGAGGCTATTTCTGGCTTCTTAGCTCACCCTATGGAGCAGTGGGTGACGAGTGCTGCAGGAGCTCATTCAGGAGTCAGGAGATAGGGAGCCACAGCAAAGCAGCCAGGGATTTCCAGGAACATGGGGTGGCCCTGCATGCACACCAGCCTCCCTTACACTTCCAGCAGCGCAGCAGAACAGTGTTGGTGGGGTAAGGCAGGTGCCATTAAATTGCAATCATTTAAAGCGTTTTTGCCCAACCTGATAAGCTGCTGACTTACCCTTGTTTTACCCCCTGCACCAGAGGAGAGAGGGAATGCAATGGGGACAAATACATATGTATGTATGATACGATTTTAATACCAGGATTATTTTAATACATATATTAAAACTCATTTCTGCTCAAAAAGTTTAAAAATTTACCATGTTTCTGTGCACTAAAACATTCAAGGTTAAAGCAATAACTTATTCTTTGACAACAGGAAACAGCTGATGAAAGAAAACCTCTTTTGTTTTGGATATACAGACTGTTTCCCAAGTGTTATGTTTGCTTTGGCTGTCTCTCTGGCATCCGCTGGTAGCAATGAGAGGGAGGGAAGGCAAGGGTGTTGCTCAAAACACAGGGCTCCTAAATGCTGTTACTCCTGTTGTTACCTGCATAAAGGTAGCAAGGATCCTCCTGAACCCTTTTCCTCCTCCCCAGAGCTTTTTGAAGGTAACTGTGTGAGGCTGTCCTAGCAGAGCTCCAGAAGCTCTCTGGAAACACACCACAAATGTCCTGGGAATAGACAGGCTATAGGAAGTCTATAGTCTGGAGACAGAGGGGAAAGGAAAAAGGAATAGCCTAAATAAACCAGTATGGAATTGCTCTCATGTGTTACTGTGCAGTCCTTTTGTGCTTGGCTGGTGGTTTTATTTCCTGAAGGAAGCACTCAATTACTGTCACACTCATATCACTGGGCACCTAGTCTCCCTTTTCCTTCCTGAAGAGCAAGTCTCCATGGATTTTGGGTTGTGCTCATCCCTGCTTTGCTGTATGGCCAGGAGAGGCCTTGAAGTTGGCCACTTCACAGCACCTTGGGTAAGAAACCTCTCACCATGTGCTGAAGTTGTACCCATGCTCCCTGCTCCCAGCATTGGGCAAACCAGGCAGCCCAGTGCCTGAGGAGCATGGAAACCATTGCCTTGGCAGGGCTCATGAAGGAAAGGAAAGGGATTTCTTGTCTTTTCTTAATTATGAACAAAGCTTTGAGATTGCTCTCTGTTTCTTACCTGAGGAACAGCAGGACTGCTAAGTCTTGCGTTGGTGAGTTTGTTCTTTCTTTTCCACTGGAGAACCCTCTGGAAGACTCAGAGATGGGAAAAACCAGGGTATTGAATCTTTCCTGCCCAGCAGTCCTTACAGCCTGAAGAAGGGCTCATCAGCCCTAAGCTTGTCTGTGCTTCCTGGCACTCAAGCAGGTCTTGCGAAAGCAACGACCTTTATGTGCAGCCAGAAACTACCAAAAGGTTCTGTTAAAGCACTTTTATTTTCCAGGCTCCGGGGATCTTTGAATATAGTGATGCAATGATAATGTAACTGCACCATGTATTTAAAATCATCTGAGATTTCCAATGTAGACCTTAAACACGGCGCTAAATAGGGCAAACAAAAATAGCTGTTACTTTGACAAGTGCTTATTTAAAGCCTGTTTTGTCAGCATTGCTGCCCTAGTTATGACAGGGAAGTTGTCTAGAAATTGCATAATTACCAATATTAAACACAAAAGCAAAACAGCACCGCACAGTTCCATAATGGAGCGGGGTCACGTTTGCCATGGCTGGTGCAGCCTCTGGTGAGTGTAGGGTCCTGCCCCTGGGGAGGAAGAGCCCCAGGTACCAGCACAGGTTGAGGGCTCACCCACTAGAGAGCAGTTCAGCTGAGAAGGACCTGGAAGTGTTGGTGGATGATGAGTTGACCATGAGCTGGCAGTTTGTGCCTTGGGTCAGGAGGGACAGGAACACCCCTGGGGTGCATCGGGAGGAGTGTGGCAGCAGGTCCAGGGAGGTGATCCTCCTCCTCTGCCCTGCCCTGATGAGGCCCCATCCAGAGCACCGTGGGCAGTTCTGGGCTTCTCAGCACAAGACAGACGAGGAGCTACTGGAGAGGGTCCAGCAGAGGCCACAAGGATGATCAGGGGTCTGGAGCATCTCTCTTATGAAGAGAGATTGTAGGAGCTGGGCCTGGTTAGCCCAGAGAAGAGCAAACTGAGAGGGGATCTCATCAATGCAGATCAGTATCTCAAAATCGGGTGCCAGGAGGATGGTGCCAGAGACAGGACAAGGAGCAATGGCCATAAACTAACACACAACAAGTT